ATGGAGTACCTATGTACTCTGCTGGAAAATTCACAAATATTATTTTGCATGGATTATTATGTATTTAACATGTATTATTTCTAAGTTTCACAACAACCACGGAAAACAGTTATTGTCAATCTTCTTTTTTCATGGATTCCATATTTGCAAATCAATTACTTGTTAAAATTTATCTGTAACCCCCAAATCAAAACTCATAATGCTTTTATGGTCATTCACAGACATGTAGAGAGGTGGGGAAAATTTGGGTCACCCAGTGCACATGTACCCAGCTGAAGTCAAACATGGTGATGTTCTGACTTTTTGTTTCAGCTCACATACTATAAACAAGTTCCTATTCATGGCCAATTTAATGCCCAGGTTAACTTTTGTTTGTTTGTTTCATTTTTTTAATGCTTTTTGTTGGTGATTTCATGGTTTTAAATGTTCCCCAGCACAGTGCTGAAGGACTATCTAGTATTCTTAAACTCAAGAAAACCATTATGTGCCTTACAGAGAAAATGTATGTATTGGGAAAACTTTTTCTGGCATGAGTTATAGTTTCTTGGCTGTGAGTTCAATTTTAATGATTAATAATTCAAAATGATGTCTCTTAGGTTGCCTGGGTGGCCCAGTTAAGCATTCAACTTTGACTCAGGTCATGATCTTGCAGTTCGTGAGTTTGAGCACTATATTGGACTCTCTGCTGTCAGCTCAGAGCCTACTTCAGATCTTCCTCTGTCCTCCTCTCTACCCTCTCCTCCACTCTCTCTCTCTATCACTCTCTCTCTCCCTCTAACTCTCTCTCAAAAATAACTGAACATTTAAAAAATGATGTCCTTTAACAGTAACACATATAAAACAAGGTCATGTATTAATTGGTTGATGAAAATGGTATAAACAGATTCTCAAAGGAGCCTCATCTTATATTTTCCTTAGGAGTAAATGGTTCATTATTCATTGATTCAGTGTTTGCTGCAACCTTATACAATATAACTACCATGAATAATGAGAATAGTCCATACTACTATTTCTTCTTTATTTCTTATTTTGATATGAATAAATGAGGTAGAGAAATATTAAGCAATGTGTTTGAAGACACCAAGATAGTTATTAGACAAGTTGGAATTTCAACTTGTATATGTCTGATTTAATTCTGTCAAGTCTTAAAGCTCCAGTGTGTGCACTGCAAGCTCAATCCTCTATTGATAAAATGAGACTCAAGACAAATTTTCACTGGTGCTAAAAAATAAGTTAATGGACAAGTTTTCTGCTTTTTTTCCTCTCTCTAAATTGGATGCTCTGAGTTGTGTGTGTGTGTGTGTCTGTGTGTGTGAACAACGTAAATTTCCCCAAATTACTGTTACTCACTTTTTAATCCCTTCAACAAATATTGGAACATCTACTATGCTTCAAGATATAATAGTCTTTCAACAAGCTTAAACTCTATTGCTGAAAAAGCCCTGGAAACAAATAATTAGAATATTATGAGAACTGTAACAATGTTATCTGAGAGATATACTATAAGTAGAGATATTTACAAGGTTTCAAAAGGCCAAACAATTGGGAAACATTTGAATTTTGCTTGGGATTTTATGAGAAGACTTTTGACTAGAAAGGAGTTTTGAGCTGGTTCTGGAAGAAACTTGCATCAGAATTGGAAACAGGAAGGACAAACTATATAGAGGACTAACATAGTAAGACAAAGATATGGCAAAGTGCCAGGGTTTGGAAAAGAATGTATGGAGGGAAAAGATTTTTGGAATATCTTTTCTACCAGTTTCCAAAAATAAAACTATTACTATGATTCATAATTCCAAGACATAGAAACAATTTATTTTTTCCCCAACTGTAACAGGTTGTAGCTATTCTACCTCATTTTCATCAATGCATCAAATCAATCTTATGGTGAACCCAGCATTCCTAGGCATTTTAACTAAAATACCTGGCTCTTAATTATATTGAAAAGAATGTATTTTCTTTACATAGTTTTGCTTAACTTTTCTTTGGTTTTTGCTCACTTCCCGGTTAAAAAAAAAGGTTGAAAAAAAGCATGTATTACCTATGTAATTACTAATTTTGTTGTTAAAGTTCTATGCAAAATCTTGTTTGAGGAGGGGGGTGTCCTAGAGCTTGGCTGGGATCCAAAGACGGATCAGAAAAATGTCTTCTTTTCCAAGATTTAGAGTGAGTGCCAATAATATGAGATATAAAGAGATGCAGGAGAGAAAGGGCTATGAGAATTGAGAGGCCCAGAGTACCAAAAAATTACTTTAGACAACTGAGACAGACCAAGCCAGTCTCAAAGCATAGAAGAGGCAAAGATCAAGGGTTAAGAACACACAGTGCATTTAAGAAGTGGGTAGTGGTTAATTTGGCACAAGTCTGTGAAAAGGAAGAGTAATTCATGCATTTGACTATAAAGGTAGGTAACTAACATACTGTGGATTGTACTAGAAGACAACATAAAGACTTTGGGTTGTCATTCAGGAGGTCTTCAAGCTCTGATGAAAGTTTGTGATCTAAGGACTGAAATAATCAGAGCTGTTTTAGATAACTAATAGGACTGTGAGGTACAAGATGAACAGAGATGTAGGTAAAGATCTGAGGGAGAATGAAAGGAAAGAAGCCATGGAAATAATGCAGGCTGAAGTAATTAAAGACTAAATTAGGATAAAAGAAGTGGGAAAAGAGAAAGGAATAGAAGAGACACTGTGTAGGCATATCCTATAAAAAAAGAAAAGAAGGAAAAGTCAAGATAACATCACAATTTCAGCGTAAGACTGCTATGTCTACAAAGAGAAGTAGAATATGCAAGAACACTTGCAATTCAAGATAATTAGTTTTGTCATATTAATCTGAAGTGCTAGCTAATCAAAAGTGCCCAGAGCCCTTGGAAACAGAACACTGAAGTTTAAGTAAGGTACAGGTGATGCTGAGTAAGGCGATAAACCAGAGATTATAATCAATCTAAGACAATAAATATGTATAAAGGATTTCTGTGAAATGGTGAAAAGTAGAATAAAAGAGGTGTAAAGCTGTCTGAGATTTCAGAAAATAGAAATCATTTTCAGATGGAGTTTGTGGCTTGCTGGTCTGGGATTCAGAAAGACTTGCTAGATCCAGGCTAAGATTTTGACAGACAGATATGGAAAAAGAAGGAATTCCAGAAGAGGAGGAGAGCATTCCAGGGGCCTGAAAAGACACCAGAGAAGACAATGTGGTAGACAAATTCAGTGCTGTTTGTGAGGGGATGACTAGGACACCAACGTGCTAAGAATCTTGTATAATGTCGAGGACTAATGAGAGCGTGGGATGGAAATGGAGGGACTTATTTCTGGCTATGCCAAAATGACAACAAAATAATCAGCCAAACTGCTCTATTTAAGTCAAGCCAGCTAATGTCCATGACTAAACTAATTGTTCATTGAGTCAAAGCATTCTAATGAGTAGCTCAATCAAAATATGTTCCCAATATAACCTGGTAATCTTAATTTCTTCAGTTTCAGTGTCTAAAAATCTTAAAGCCCTACACTCTTGAGGGTTAAAGGAGGCCCTAGAGATTATTTGATTAAGCATTTGCCTATGTTTCAATTATGAACATAAGTATCTAAAGTCTTTTGAAATTACAACTTCTATTTTGTGTAAAGGTCTTCAGACATTATTTTTTAATATAAATTCTAATGGATAGAAGTATTTTAGAACTACAGAGAAAAGATCTACTTGCCTTACTTTACTAAGTTTTTTAAATTGGAAGACTGTTTCATTCTTTGCAAAAAAAAAAAAAGTGTTTGAAATGCTCAAATGAAGGTAATCTTCCATTCCACATATTTTTACAATTAAAACTGTTTTTCCTGGACACTGGTGATATAATATAAAATAGCACCAATAATTCTCATGGCAGTTACTTTCAGCACTATATGCATATAATTTAAGTAAAATATGTACCTCTATACAAATCAGGGCATCAATATCATTTATAAGGATTCCATGACTTCAAAAACTCTTCTTTTTCTCTTTCCCTCAATAGCTGATTAAAACAAAACAAAGCAAAACCAACCAACAAAACAAAACAAAACAAAAAAACACCCTCTGCATTCCCCAAGTGTAATGCAAATAAAACTCCCAAATGAAGAGTAGGCTGAAAGAAAACTACCTACTCTGGGAGTTTTGCCAAATTTTTATTTTAATGAACTTTATGCAGAGATAGAGAAAGAACATTATGCTGGAAATGCAGAAATCAACTCAGCATTCTTGGCAGGAGTATATTTTAGCCTACAGCACAAAAAGAGTTAATCTGAAATGCAAACAGGAGCTGGATTAAATGTGTTTTGTTTGCCATTCAAGGAGCTTTGTTTTAATGGCAAAGGCAGTACTGAAATTGGGTGAGTACTTAAACTTTATTATGGAAATAAACGAGGTTGCTCTAGAAGTCTTCCATGACAAGAAAAACATGCTGTGAGGAGTTATTGAATTTCTTATTTTCCTATCTAGAACAATTCTCTGTTTGCTTGAGATTTTCAGGCCATGGTTCCATGAAATTGAATATGGCCTTCCCCCTTCAACCAGCAAAACCCCAAACAAAACTTAAACTGTGTCTTCTTTGCATGTTATAGTTAATGTGCTTTCATTACGTTTAATGTACTTTTAATAGTCTCCTATGGCAAGATGGTGATATTAAATGTGGGAATAAAATATCCATGATACAACCTTGAATTTGCTATAGTGCCTTTTATCTCAGGGCTCAAAACACTTTACACACATTCTCATTCAGTATCTCCTTGAGGTGTATGTATTATGTGCATTTTATGGTTGAGGACACTGAGGTGTACAATAACTAAGGGAATTGAGGTCATTTCCAGAGCTCACACTAAGCACAACCTGAATACGTCTCCTGCAGCAATGAGCACTCTCTCCCTGCAGGCCAGAATCGCTCCAAAGCAGCTGCAAAAGTGGCTTCTCAGGGCCAAAACCAATTGCATCTTCACTGTCTTTTCCTTCAGGGGACTGTCTCTCCTTACCTGGACTCCATCAGATGCAGGGATGTAACTTGCCCTTTTAAACGTGTCTGTCACATTTCTGAGAATTTCCACAGACATCAGAAGATCACCTGCATAGAAATTTTTCCTCTGAGTTAAATCCAACAGTGTCTTGGTCACCTGGGACATTCCATCACCTGCCAGCATTCGTTGCCCCTTAGCAAGGTGTTCTTTGATCTGTGATGGTCAAAAGAACAGAATGAACATCAGAATCTTCATTACTATTAATTTACATATTTTCACCAAAAAAATTTACTTAAAATTGCAGAGTCTTCTTTAAAAGAGCATTATAATACTTGGGAGAATTTCAAAACTATAAATTTTGTGTACCTCACACTCAGATGGATAAACAGCCAGCATGAAAAAAACCTAACAAATGTATATACTTGTGTAGTCATGACAGATTTGCCTTTTCTAGTACTCAGAACATACAATTGAATGCATTGGGAAAACTCTGTATTAGTTTGAGTTTTTAATTGAGAAGATTTTTAAAAGATACTTTTGCATGTGATAAGCAAGTGAGATAGTTCAGCAAGGTGTGATCAGAGACAAGAGATTATAAACATTTCAAAATACCCATTTTTTCTTTCAGGTAAGATGGAGTAGGAAGGCCCTAGGCTCACCTCATCACTCAGATACAACTAGCTAACACCCACATTAATGTAAATAACCTAGAAAACATCCCAAAGACTGGCACAACAAACTCCACAGCTAAATGTAGAGAAGAGGCCACATCAACAAGGATGAGAAAGGTAGAGACACAGGACTGAACATGGGAGGAAGGGAGGAACAGTTGAAGAAGAGGGAGAAACAGACTTTCACACCAGGAAGCATGCACAGAGAAGATGAATCCCCATAATATTTGACTTTGAAAACCAGAGAGGCTAAATTTTGGATTTGGTGAATTCTTTAAATCAGCAGTGCTTAAAACATGGAACTTTAAATAAGTGGGAGAGCCAGGAGGGTGAGAAAAAAACTGAATTTCTGCCCTTAAAGAGACAACACAACAGCTCCACAGAGATACAGCAGAGAAGCAGCAGTTTGAAAAATGCCTGGGATATACAGAGGTAAATTTCTATATTAACCTCAGAGCTTGTGCTGGAGGGGTAGAGATAATTGGTAGACTTCTCCAGGAACAAAGGAGCTGGCATGCTCCATTTCCTTCCCCTGCCCTCCAGCATATGCATACAGCCACCTTTAGGAAACAGCTCCAGGCCAACAACACTCCCTGCCCAACTTACTAACAGTGCACTATGCCAATGCATTCTTTTGCAGACACTCTGACTCTAGTCAGGACTCCACTCCAGCTCCCCTCCCATAGCAGAACTGCACAAACCTTGCTGAGACTAGGCATTTCACCTGTGGACTTCTGAACATGCAGCCCCTCCAAACCAGTCTACCTTGGTCCCCAGCAGCTATAGGTTCTCTCCCATTTGAACCTTGTTGGCACCATGTGCCTTCTCCCACATTCTCCTTTATTTTGGTGTGACTGAATATCTGGCAAATGCCTGGTCTGAATCAACTTAAGACCAAGGTAGCCCCAGAGTGGCCAACTGACAACACAGGGACCAAACCCTACCTACAACAGGCAAGAGAGCCCTTGCAGATTACGGGACTGAGGCAAAAGAAGCTCGGCCATAACAGCAGGGTACAAGCAACACACATAGGAAATGCATCTGAAGCACCAGGTTCTGGTGAACAGGGCACCTTGTAATGCAGAGCACTATAGGACCTCTTCTACACAGGCCACTACTTACAAAGAACAGAAGTAGTTAACTTTCCCAATATACAGAAACAGACACAGAGAGTTAGACAAAATGAAGAGACAGAAAATTATGTCCCAAAAGAAACAACAAGACAAAATCAGAGCAAGAGACCTAAATGAAATGGAGATAAGTAATATGCTGATAGAGAATTTAAAGTAATCGTCATAAAAATAGTCATGGGATTGAGAAAAGAGTGGAGGACCTCGGTGAGACGGTTAACAAAGAAGAAGAAAACATAAAAAGGAACCAATCAGAGATGAAGAACTCAGTAAGTGAAATAGAAAAATATAAAAGATGGAATAAAGAGAATAGAAGAAGCAGAAGAATGGATCAGCAACCTGGAGGAGAAAGACTCAACAGGAAAGAGAAAAAAATAATAAAAAATGAAAATAAACTTAGGGAACTCAGTGACGTCACCAAGCATAATAACATACACATTATAGGGATCCCAGAAGGAAAAGAGAGAGAAAACAGAGGCAGAAAATGTATTTGAAAAAATAATAGCTGAAAACTTCCCAAATATGGGGAAGGTAACAGAAATCTAGATTAAGGGAGTGTAGAGAGGTGCCAACAAAATCAACCCATGGAGGTCCACACCAAGACACACAGTAATTAAATGGCAAATGTAGTGATAAAGAGAATTTTAAAAGCAACAAGAGAAGAGTTACATACAAGGGAAACATCATCAGGCTATAAGCTGATTTTTCAGCAGAAAGTTTTCAGGCCAGAAGGGAGTGGCATGATATATTCAAGGTACTGAAGAAAAAACAAAACAAAACAAAACAAAACATAACCAAAAAAAAAAAAACAACAAAAAACCCCAGCAGCCAAGAATATGCCATCCATCAAGTCTATCAATCAGAATGGAAGGAGAGATTAAAAGTTTTCTGGACAAACAGAAATTAAAGGTGGTCTAGTTGCAGACCAACCAGACCAACATGAAATGTTAAAGGGAACATTGAGTAGAGAGAAAAGACCATAAGCAGCAGTAAGAAAAGTAGTAACATAAAAGCAGTCAAAATAAGTATATCTATAAAAATAACTCAATGTGTTCACAAAATAAAAGGATGTAAAGTATCATATCATGCACATAAAATAGAGGAAGAGGAGTAAAGAATGAGTTCAAAATTTTTAAGTGAGCTTCAGAGACTGCTATATGCAGACGATGTTAATTACAAACCTAGTGGTAACCACAAATCAAAAACCAGTAACAAATAAGTAAAAAAGAAGGGAATCCAAGTATATTACTAAAGAAAGCCATCTAACTCTAAGAGAAGGGAGCAAGACAGAAGAGAAAAGAACTATGTAAACAACTATAAAACAAGGAACAAAATAGTGATAAGTACATACCTGTCAATAATCACTTTGAATGCAAATTAACTAAATACTCCAGTCAAAAGACATAGAAAAGAACTATAAACAACTATAAAACAAGTAACAAAATGGCAATAAATACATACCTATCAATAATCACTTTGAATACAAATGGACTAAATGCTCCAATCAAAAGACAAAAGAATGGATAAAAAAGCAAGGTCCATATATATGCTGTCAGTAAGAGGCTAATTTCAGACTTAAAGACACATGCAGACTGAATGTGAAAGAATGGAAAAATAATTTTTCATGCAAATGGCATTGAAGAGAAAGCCAGGATAGCAATATCTGTATCAGAGAAAATAGACTTTAAAGAAAGACTGTAGCAAGAGACAAAGAAGAACACTATATAATGATAAAGGGAATAATTCAACAAGAATATATATAATAATTATAAATACGGTACTCAACATAGAAGCACCATAATACATAAAGCAGCTAAAAAAACATAAGGGAAGTAATTGATAATAATACAATAAAAGTAGAGGACTTTAACATCCTCTTGCATCAACGGACAGATATCCAAGCAGAAAATCAACACGGAAATAGTGATTTGAAATGGCACACATTCTATCCTAAAAAGGCAGAAGATACATTATTTCATGTGCACATGGAACATTCTAAAAGAGATTACATAATAGGCCACAAAACAAGTCTCAACAAATTTGAAAAGACTGAAGTCTTACCATGCATCTGATCATAATACTATGAACTAGAAATCAACCACTAGAAAAATCTGGAGAGAATACAAATACATGCATGTTAAAAAACATGCTACTCAACAATGAATGAGTCAACCAAGAATCAAAGAAGAAAAAAAAAATAAAAAGATGTAGACAAATGAAAATGAAAACAAAATGGTCCCAAATCTGTTGTAATAGGGAAGCTTAAAGCAATACAGGTCTCAAGAAGCAAGAAAAAGCTCAATTAAACAACCTAACTTTACACCTAATGAAGCTAGGAAAAAAAAAAAAGAGAGAACAAACACAATCCCAAACCAGAAGTAAGAAGGAAATAATAAACATTAGAGTTGAAATAAAATCGAAACTTAAAAAAGGAAAAAAAATAGAACAAATCAATGAAACTAGGAACTTGTTCTTAAAAAGATCAACAAAATTGATAAACTTTTAGGCCTACATATTAAAAAAAGAAAGAGGACTTAATAAACAAAAACAGAAATGAAAGAGAATAAATAAAATCTGACATCACAGAAATACAAAGGATTATAAGAGAATATTACAAAAGTTATATGTCAACAAATTGGACAACCTAGAAGAAATAGATAAATTCATAGAAACATATAAACTCCTAAAACTGAATCAGGAAGAAACAGAAAATTTGAACAGGCTAATTACTACCAATGAAATTGGATTAATAGTAAAACAAACAAACAAACAAGCAAACAAAAAACCAGCAAACACAAGTCCAGGACCAGATGACTTCACAGGTGAATGCTATCAAATATTTAAAGAAGAGTTCTCACAAACTATTCAAAAAAAAAAAAAATGGAAGAGGTAGGAAAGCTTCCAAATTCATTCTTTGAGACAAGAATTAGTCCCATACTGAAATAAAAAAAAGACACTACAAAAAAAGAGAACTATGGGTCATTATCTCTGATTGACATAGATGCAAAAAATCTCAACAAAACATTAGCTAACCAAATACAACAACACATTAAAAAGAATAATTCACCATGATGAAGTGGGATTTATACCAGAGATGCACACATGGCTCAGTATTCACTAATCAATCAACATGATACATCATATCAAAAAAGGAAAAAACATATGATCATCTCAACGGATGCAGAAATAGCTTTTAACAAAGTACAACATTCATTCATGATAAAAACCCTCAACAACATAGGTTTAAGGTGACATACTTCAAAGGCCAAACCACAGCGAACATCATACTTAATGGTGAACAATTTAGAGCTTTTCCTCTAAGGCTAGGAAAAAGAAAAGGATATTCACTCTCACTGCTTTTATTCAACGTAATACTGGAAGTCCTAGCCACAGCAGTGAGACAAGAAAAAAG